AAGCAGGCTTATCAACTCTTGGAAAAGTCTACTAGAGCGGTGATCGAACGTGCCCTCGTCACGTTGTATCGTCACGTTTGCTCTTCTCGTTTCCGTCCTCTCAAATTGCAGTTCTCCTCCAAATCCGAACGTGACACCTTCCTCAAAGGATTCAATAAGATCAAGAACGACGAGCCACTCCTGAACACCATCGAGCCCAAACTCAGAGCCCGCCGTGACCTGACCCGTTCCGAACTCGAAACCCTTCGTGCATCCAGAAAGTTCGTATACGATGAGAACCTGAAGGCGAAGACCTCCATCCATATCTCGCCCTCGTTTATGGTTCAAGAAATGCAATTTGCGCTCCCTCAACTCCGATCTCGCCACCATCGACTGGGACCTCTCATTTAGTACTTTGCCTTCTCCTTCCGAAAAATTCACTAAATTTATTGATATTCTTTCCACACTTATTCGTAATCATACTCCTCTGCTTCCTCCACCCAAATCCAAACCCTTTTCTCTACCATTTCGAAAGCTTAAACGGGCAAGGCACCTCTACTCCACTCCAAGCTTCTTAAAACTCCAACTACGGCTCCCAGGAAAATTCTCCATGTTCGAACTCGTATCAAACCTCTCACTCGAACAATCAATAAGAAAATGGTAAGTGACGAATTCCGAATCCTCTCAGCCCCACACTGTCGTTCTGCCCGCGCCCTCTTCAAAAGTAGAATTATATCTTCACCTAAAGTCCCACCTCTTTCTGCTAATGGCTGTCTTATAACCTCTGAACACGAAAAATCCACCCTTTTCACCAAAACATTCTCTTCTAATTATAATCATCTCACTTCATCCGCATCCATCACTCCCGCAATAAGTCATCAGCATCTTCCTTTTTCTGGCTCTGACCTTGAAATCTTCGATCCCTGGATAATTAAGAAGCTTCTTCGCAAACTCCCGCCTCGTTGTGGCTATTCTCCCCATTCGGCCAATTACTTTATCATTAAAAAATGCGCCACCACTAGCATTACCTTTATCGATTATCTTCTCTGACTCACTCTCCACGTCACATGTACCCGACTATTGGAAACACGCAGTAGTCGTTCCCATACCAAAAAAGGGCCCTCCTTCATCGCCCGAATACTATCGCAATATTTCGCTTATTGACCCATTCACTCGAATTTTCGAACGATTGGTATGTGATCGCATCAAATGGGAATTCCTCCATCAATTCAGTAGTCTTCAACATGGTTTTCTCTCCAACAGATCCTGCACCACCTCTCTAGTTCAATTTTTTTCGAATTATAAAGCTACTCTTTTGAAATACAATACACTAGACGTCGTATTTTTCGATTTCCGCAAAGCTTTCGACCAGGTACAGCATCAACTTCTCATCCAGAAACTTGCTAGCTTTGAAGTCCCTAAATCTTACGTAGCTTGGTTCTCCTCGTTTCTCTCTGGTCGAACGTTCTCTGTCAAAATCTATGATTTTATTGGACCCCATTCCTCTGTCATTCCCTGATAATAACCCTGCTTCACTTCTTCTTCATATTCCCTTCATCTCCATGCGCCCCATAACTCAGGTTACCATCCTCCATCATCATGCGCGGCCTTTCTCTTCTCTCTCCCAACTCTTCACTATTTCCACACTCACCTTGCATATGGCACTTGTCCTCCATTGGCATACGTCGACGAGTTGATGGTCCAGATGGGAAAGCGTCTCCCTGTGTCTGAAAGCCATTTTTTGCACTATTCTCATCCGTACTTTCTTTGTTCTTACCGATTCTCGAGTAAGAATTCGATTGCGAATTTCCCACCTTCCACTTATCTTCCTCCTCATACGGCCGAACTCGCTCTTCCATTTTAGCATTCTCATCTTCAGTTTGTCCTCATTCCACTGCTGCCGCTGCTTTGTGAGTTGAGCCTGTAACCAGTTTTTCTCAGTTTCAGTTGCGTTGACCAATTCATCTAGAGTGGCTTTTTGCTTTTTGATGCTCTCAGTCTTTCGGAATATCTCCTCCATGTCTTCAAGCGCATGTATATCCATATTCTCCAACCAACTTACCAGACGACTTTGCTCCTCAGTAACCTCCTTAACCTTCGTGGAGTCAAGGCGACGTGGCGATTCGAGCCGGTTTCCATCGGTCGGTAAGTCAAGAATTTCGTTTTCCAAGATGGCATTGATGCGTTTCATTTCGACAATTTCGGAATTTTTTAACTCAATCATTCCATTTTTTCTTCTCAATGCGCTTATCTAACGGTTTTAAAATTCCTTCCAAATGACTCAATGATCCTTTTGCATATTTCATCAAATTATCCAGTGCTTCCTTTCTTGCATCCTCATCTTCTTCTGCACAGCGCTGTTTTTCCCACACCATTCTTACCTTGGTGCTCTTCTCAGCTTCCGTAGCAACCCCTTCCTCTACTCTTTCGGCTCCTCCGGCTTTCTCAGCTTTCTCCGCTCCCTTCCGATCCTCAACCTCTTTCATTTCCACATCATCGGACACCGTCTCCTTTTGCACTGGCCTTGGCATTTCCCAGTTTAGTAGCTCGTTGACTAGCGACTCGTTCGGATTCTGCGGCAACGTTGATGTTTCCATCCCGTTCGACGAAGTCGGCGGTTCCAGAAGGTCATCCATTGGTTCCTCCGAAACTTGCTGCAAAATATTCAAATTTTTACACTTTTCCAAGTAGAGATGCTATTTTGCGCAGAAAACGGGAAGAAGCAAATTTGAGCACAACAAATCGATAAAATACCGATGCAATTGATACAATTGCTACCAAATGGCTGATTTTCAGGCGAAAAGTCAGTTCCCGACACAAAACTTCACGAATTCTTGTTGAAAAGCAATCAGTTCTTCTTTGAAACACTTCCTTCTTTTGACACACAATTGAAATCCCAAATTGGCAAAATCGAACAATTTCCAATTTTTGACTCGACACTCCTTCGAACTTCGGTAATTCCTCACACACACACGCTGGCGAATCGTTCACCACTCCTCTCCACTCACTCGCGACGTCGATTCCAGTACTATGTCCTCCGATCCTTAGCTAATCGAGCTAATTTCACTCCCGCAAACTGAGAAAAGTGGCTAGAAGCTGCCGGTGCCCGGACAGAACGCCTTCTCAATTTCCAAGAGATGGAAAATCGCAGAGAATATGGCAAGAAGCTGCCGGTGGCCGGACAGAACGCCTTCTCAGTGAAAATCGATAAAAACGGCAAAGAAACGGGTGAAAACGACAAAGAGACTGATAGAAACGAAGCAAACAAGAGCAAAAAAGCGATAGAACGTAACCAAGTAGAAGATTCACACAAAAGACCGAAAAAGTTCCGGAAAAAGCCTTTGGCCCCCAAGTAATGTAACTGAAAAAGGATTCCAGAAACACTAACTGCTAAAAGACACTAATGAAAACAACGAGATGCAGAGAGAGAGTGAGAATCACAGACAAACGCTATGCACTCACAGAACCTCTATGCACTCAAAGAGACCTGTGTAACCTGAAGACTAGAAGACACTAAAACACAGAATTCCTATAAAACACTATTTATTGAATCAACAATAAATCAACCTATTAAAGGTGAGTTAAAACAAATGGAGGCGTCACCAGTGTGAACGCACCCCCAAGCAAGAACTGAAGGGGAAACGATGAGAGAGACCACGAGGGGAGATGCCCAGAGAAAACAGATAAGTGTCTGTTGGCGCGCACTTTAAATTCTTACTGTCACCCACTTTCGTTTGTTACTGTCACCCACTTTCGTTTGCATGTATTTATCGGGGGAGATTTCTCTCCTGTAGACTTGGAAAGAGGGTGAAGAAGATAAAGAGAAGATAAAGAGAAGTATAAAGATAAGAGAAGATAAGAGAAGATAAAGAGAAGAGAAGAGAGAAGAGAAGACCTACCGGACAGGTGAATTTTTTATTCAGTTTTTGATAATGATTGTTGAACTATTGAAGACACTTCTTTGGTTTTTTTTTCTCGTAGCAAACAATTAGACATTGTTTGGATTTTTAATAGACCTTTGAGTGTATATTTTGGTTCTAAGTTAGAAGTTCAAAATATAATTCAAATAATGATTTTCAAATGTTATCCTTTTTATTTTAGGATGACAAATCTTGGATCAACCATTGATAGAATCACTTAGGACAAGCTTCGATTTGATTTTTTGTAGATTCCGTAATATTCTAATCATTCCACGGCGAATGTCAACATTCGGAACAACAAGGAGTCTGATGAGATGAACCAGGATTTACTTTTCATTGTGCAGGTATCTAAAAAAGAAATTATCGTTCTGAAGCTGATGTGATTTTTACATGATGAAAAACGAAGGTATTATTCGACCACGCTTTCCAATTTTTCATCGCTCCAAAATTTAAAAACGTGAGTGGGATTCAAAATGTATTTCTCAACATTTTTAACCCAATTTTCTTGGAAACTACCCAGAAAAGGCACTTCTCAAATATATACAGTACTGACAAGCAAGAAATACGCAAACTGTGTTTTGACTGTAACTTTCTTCAAGTTAGAACTAAAGCGTCAATCTTTCCTGTAGAATGTAGCAAATCACCCGAAAAAAGATGCAAATGTGTTTTCAGATTGAAAATAAAAGAAAAAATTTTAGCGAAAAAATTCACATTTTGGCAAAATTCGGATTTTTTTGAAATTTTTTCAAAAGGCCGGAAAAAAATAGAAAACTATCATAAAAGAGAAATGCGACATTGTGAACTAGTTTAGATAGTCTTTAACCAAATACTGATTTCTACTGTTTCCGCACACTTTAATTACCTAAATCCATCAAAAAAAAATTTTCCAAAAAAAATTTTTTTCACCATAGGGGGGACCCTTATGATTTTTTTGGAGAGGCAAAATGTGCTGAAATTTTTCTGAAATTTTTATTCCGATTGTTTTTCGATAAACTGAATATTCTATTGTGTTCCCCACGTTTCTCTGATCACGGGCATATAAGTTTCCTCTATGTTTTCCTTTTCTAGCACCCTCTTCTGATGTAATGAAGTGTGGTGCACGCTCTTTGCGGAAGGGCAAAATTAGTACTGGGACCACGTACCAGGGACCGCGACCATTTTTTTTTCAACCTATATTTTTTCCCACATGATTCTGGTTCTGTGCAAACAAAAACGTCTTGAAAATTCAAGATGGTACGTGAGTTATTAACCATCTAACTGTGGTGCGCGATCCCACCTCCCCCCTCCTTTTTTACTACGCAGAGAGCAAAGGTCAGTCGATGAGGAGGGAGTTCATTCGTGTGTGAACGCTTCTTCCTTTTTGGTGCGCTCTCCGCTCTTCCTCCCGCTCCCCCCGGCTCCCCGCTTCTTCCGCGCGCGCGCGTTTTTTTGCGGCGTTCGTTCGTTTCTTGTTTCTTTTGTACAGTTTTATATTAATTATGGTTTTCTTGCAGGAAATATTGGAAATATTCAAGATATACAACGGCAAAAACGGCGAATCAACAGGGACACCAAAAATATGAATCTTCTGAAGCAGAACAGTTCAATAAGGTATACTTTTTTAAAAATGAGAGTTTTGTTACAGTTTTGGATGAAATAAGAAACAAAAGAAAACATTAATTAGATTTCAAAATAGTTTGAAAAATATTTAATTAGTAAAAAATATTTTTGATTCCAAAAAAAAAAAATTTTTTATGAAAAAAATTTTTTTTTTGAAAATACTAGAAGATACAGTTTTAAATTGATAATTAGAACTGCTTTGGAAGTAGTGAATTAAATGAAAAACTACGAACTATGTTAACAATTTTCGTTTTTGAACATATTTTCGAAAAATTTTCATTTGAAATTTACAAAAAACCACCAAAAAATGAATTTTTTTTTCCAATTTCAAAAAACTCGATACTCAAATTACTAGAACAAAATTCAAAACGGAAGTAGAGTTTTTAAAGTAATTGAATAAATAAAAAAAGATAATTTGAATTAAATATTTAAGATAATCGGTGTGGCGAATGAATTGTGGCTCCTCATAAACGGGATTCTGGCTGGTGATGGCGAAGAAAAGGAGAGTGGTGGAACCGATCGATGGAATGGCATCAGTGATTCGGATATCGATTAGAAGTCAGGCACTTCGATTGGAGTGGAAGTTAGTTTTTTTATATTTGTCCCTTTAGGACGCTTAGGTTTCTTAGGTTTGAATTTCAGGTGGTGAGTTTGAAAAAAATGCACGCGGTGGGAAGAGAAGGGGGTAAAATGAAATAGTAACTGACTTTTTTTCCATTAATGGGATGAATATAAATACTCCATTGCGGGTGATATTTTGCTCTTTTTTTCGGGAGTTTTAAAATTTCGGGGGAAATAAGAACTCAGTTTTAGATGAAAAATAGGTTTTGGGATGCGAATCTAAAAAAAAGCGATAAATTTCGGAAAATTTTATTCAAAAAAAAAGGCGTTGGATTTTATAAAATTAAATATAAACAGCGACGTAATTTTGAAAAATTCAATCAAAAGAATGACGCTGAAAAATAAACTCGCCTTGAAAAAGGCTTGAGAATAAAGTGCATCATATTGATGCAATATCATTTCTATATTATTTTTTTTCATATTTCAACATTCGAGGAATGGACCGATCGAAGATGGAAGGAGGAGGATTGTTAAAAAAGAAGAGGCAAAACGCCATTATCAGTCGTTGGAGGAAGTTGGGAGAGTTTTGGTTATTGTGTGATTAGATGTGTGGGGAAAAAAACTAAGTTTAGGTGACTTCAGGAAACATCTAATCACAAAATAATTGAGATTTTTCCTTCAAATCTTCAATTTGACTGATAATGTGGTATGCGATCGATGCCTTCGGTAGTCAGTCCACTTGCTATTCAGCATGATGAGAAAATGACGCCATTTTAATTCCATGAGCGTGTGATTTATTCAGATATAGTCTGAATGAAATCATATTTTCGTATGCCACATCCAGCCAATAGCAAGTGGGTGCTCAATTGGTGTCTGGGATTGTGGGAGTCTGTTGGACTAGGATTAGGGCTCCGATTAGGTTTAGGCGGATATTTCGGTCTTTTTCGAGTTGTCGGGATCTTCAGTTTACCGCGATGGACTGCACGCTTCTTATACATGTCTCTCCCAACCAATTTTGAAATTTTTCACGCCTTCATTGCCATCTTCGTGTGTTAGGTTTTGACTTCAATTGGATTTTACACGACAGTCGACTGGTTGGATCCGCTGTTTTCCTGAGGTTTCTATGTTCTTTCCTTGGACTCTTTCTGTTTGTGTTGTCTGGACTCATATTTCTGTATTTTGGACTCCGTTTTTTTTCCAGAAATATTAATCAGGATTTCAGCAGCTCGTCTGCAAATTCATCGCAGTCGACGTATTTCGAAAGAACAGTGAAGTTTCACTTTACGATTTTTTTCAAGTTTCAATTTTGATATAGTTTTTTTTCAGGTGGAAAATTTTGGAAATCAGATGGATTCTCACCATTGTTCAAGAAGCTACACAGAAAAAACCACAAGTCGACTTTCGGAAATTTTATTTCCATTCTATTATCTTTGAGAAAACTTGAAAATTTTGACAGAAATAATTTTCACAATACAGTCATTTTTTGAGACTTTGAAATTTTAAACTCCTTAAAATTTGAGCTTCGGAACTTGAGACTGCATTAAACAAAAGCGTCAAGTTCTAATCACTTAGTATTTTCAAACATTTTTTCTCGGATAGTTTTTCTAATTTTTTAAATAGCAAGTTTCAGATAAGGATTAGAATCTGAACGTTTTTAACTTTTAAAGTTTTTTTAAATCTGATTAGCTAAATTATTTGCACTTATCATCAGTTTAGCTCAAAAATTTTGATATTCTCTATTTAGACTTAAAAATTAGATATATTTCCCTTTTTTGATTTCAATGCGCGCTGCGGCAAAACACTCGAAGGTGGGCGGAGCTTAGGTTTGGTAGCAAAATCATCAAAGATGCATATATATTTCGTAATTATTCTCAGGCCCATTTTGCTCAAAGATACATTTCATCGATAATCTACTTTTTTAACATAAATCTGCAAAAATTGCGAAATTTGCAATAAAACCTACGAAAACTATCAAAAAACCAAAAAAATAGGACAACAAATAGTTATAAAATACATGCTTCTTTGAGTATTTTGTCTACTGGACCTTAGCTCCGCCCACTCTTGAATTTTCGGCTGAAATTCACATTTCAATTAGACCTTTCTTTCTTCCAATAGTTTCTATTCCGTTTATTTCAAAAAAATTAGTTTCAGCACGCTTCATTCTTTAAATTTATAATTTTCAGCCGTCACTTCTCTTTTCTTTGACTTTCTGAAACTTCTCAATCGTTGAGGGTAAGTTTGGAAGAAATTGTAAGAAATACTGGTTAAAAAATTTTTTCCCGAGTTTTATCGATGAATATATCCAAGAGAATTTTGAAAAGACGTAAAAAACAAGGGTGTGATCGATAGAATTTGAAATTCTGGAAACGTTAGAATCGGTTTTTTCTGTTTTTTAATATCCGCAGTTAGCAAATTTGTTAAGTCTTTGAATATCGTTTTTTTTTAAAAATAATACCAGTCATTATTCGCGGTATTTTTCAGAATTTCAAATTTTTAGTCACACCTCTGTTTGAACAAAAAATTGATAGTTACTCATCTGTATTATTTTTTCAGATGAGTTTTGTAATTGGAGAGGTTATTGATGGTAAATATCACGTTAATGCAAGAATTGGAAAAGGGGGATTCGGAGTGATTTTCAAGGTCACCGACTATGTCGATCTGCGTGAGAAAGCACTGAAAACAATTGGTGGATCTGATCCAAAAGATGAAGATTACTTGAACGAGGTGCACGTTTTGACTTTTCTGGCACCGGTACCTGGAGTTCAGAAGCTTCAAAATCATTTCACGTACCGCAACAAATTGTGCTTGGGTGAGATCAATGAATTCTCGAAATTCAGAAAAAAATTTCATTTCAGTTCTCGATCTTTATATGGTGGATATGGTCACGCTTGCCGAAAACAAGCTCTTCTCTCAATCACTCACATCTAAAGTTGGCCACAAATTGACTGAGATTCTCCGTGATGTCCACAATTTTGGAATCATTCACAGAGATATTAAGCCGGAAAATTTGATGATCGCCTTGGTTGGGGAGGTAAGCTTAGGACTGAAAATCTTTTTTGTAAAATTCTGAAGGATTTTTTCGCTGATTGTTTTTTTGTGAATTTAAATGCTATACCTGATTGTCGTATCTTCAGTTTGGAAATCTGATCATTTCAGGCAGCTGAAATTAGACTCATTGATTTCGGGATGGCATGTTTCTTCCGTAAACCCCACGGATTCATTGGAAAAGTCTCAGCCGACGACTACGTGTATACTGATCCTGCTTCTGCTGCACTTGGAATGGCAATTGGGAAGAAACCATCCAAAACTGACGACTTTGTCATGTTGGTTTATACTCTGATGAAGCTCCGCAGATTGAATCCATTCCAAGCAGAGACTGGCAAGCAAAGAACCGATCTCAAACAACAGTTTGTGAGTTTTCAGACCTGAAGAACCTAAAAAAAATAGTTTTCTTTTAAAAAATCAACTGAATAGAAAAATAATTTACTTTTCCTTAAATACTCCTCTTTTCATAAAATAGGGTTCAGTTTTCTGTTTACACCCATTTTTTGAAAAGTTCTCCCTCCAAGGATATTATGTCTTGATAGCATAGTATTCTAAAAGCGATATTATTTAACTGTAAACCCGGATTTCGTTGCTGTACCACTCAAAAAGTAGTATTTTGGAATAACTAGCATGAATGTATACAGCTAAAAATTTACATTTATGTGTTAATAATTAAAATTTTCTAGTCTATCTCAAAAAGAGGTAAATCATTTGAAAAGAGGAGAAATATTTTCAGTACATTCTATAATTCAATTGATTTTTTTTATAGTAAATCATTTTTCTATAAAATGTTCTTGCATAAGGGCTTTGGAAACTTGAATTTGTAACAAATTGTTTTCAGCATGAGAACCCGGCTCGTATCCTAAAACGCAAGAATCGCTTCCTATTGGGCATTGCCAAAATCATCTGCGAGAACGCTGTTGACAACGTTGTCAATTACGAGAGTATTCTGTATTCTCTGAAGAACTCTGCCAAGTACAATATGGAGAAGCCATTCAAACTTCACGTCGGACGTCGTAACAAAATGTCTTTGCGACCATAATTTCCATCAGGCTATCTTCTCTTTGATTTTATTCTCTTCTTATTTCAATTTCACCATGATTACTTATTTTCCAGACTAATGGCATAAGCCCATTTCTACCCCTATTTTCTGATAGTATTGCTACTGGTTCCTAGTTTTTCTTTTGAGGTCCTTTTTTTGTAAATTAGGGTCGTTTCGAATTGTAGATGGGCCGGAGTAAGGACACGAGCCCATTCTTGACTTCCCCACATTTTTCCAGTGACTTTCCGGCCAATGCGGCATTTCTTCTTCAAATCGAATAAAAAATCTGTACCATTTAAAAAACAATTTATAATTCATTATCAATTTGAAACAGTATAACTCATACTGCAATTTGTATCTGTTACATTTTTGAATGTCATTCTCTTTCTTTTCTCTTAGTATGCCTTATTAATTTTTCAGGCATAAATGTCTTCAGAGTACAGTTGCCCATTCGATGATCTCCTGATCCTTGACTTTGAAACAACTTGCGAGGAAGGTGTTTTTGATCACCCGGTTGAGATTATTCAGATGAGTGTTGTCGTGCTTAATATCACAGATAAACTTATCGTGAGTTTTTTGTTTTGCTTTTTTTCATTAGACACTAGACAGGTAATCAGCTATGACTAAACTTTAATTTGCAGAGAGAAGATGTTGTGTTCAACAAACTGGTCAAACCAGTCGTCAATCAAAAATTAAGCCAATATTGTATTGAGCTGACTGGTAGTTTTGAAGTTTGCTGTGAATCTTCAATTATATATTTTTTTCAGGAATTCAACAAGATGCTGTTGACAAGGCTGACATATTTTCAGTTGTCTATCAACAATTTCTTGAGTGGCTCAAAAAGCACAACTTGGACGAGCGAAAGTTCGCTTTTGCCTGCGATGGTCGCCAAGATATGTGGCGTCTGGCACAATATCAGTTTCTGCTCATTAAGGAAAATTTTCCGGCAATCTTCAGACAATGGATAAATATAAATAGAATTTTCCAAGACATCGCCAAAGAAAAGTATCTTTCAATTGCTGGACGCGTAAGTTATTTCTATTCCTCGGTTTCGTTTTAGAATAGGGCTTCACGGTATTTCTAACATAAGTTTCCTAATTTTAGAGTTTCAATACAGAAATGAAAATGAAACATTTCCAGAGTAACCTAGAAAAAATGTCCAATTTCTTTGAAATCAAGTTCGAAGGACATGCTCACAATGCAATGGACGACGTTAAATTCCTGGCTCAAGTTGCTAAGAAGATTCTTGACACCGGACGTTTCGTAACCGTCAATGAAACTCTCAACTGCATTAGTGGCGTGAGTTCAGAAAAAAGTCGAATTTTTAAGCCGTCAAAATTTTTTTCAGTGGAGAAACGTTCCGGAAAACATTGATCCAAATTGGAAATCGGACATGCATAAAACGCATAAAATCATCGCCAGAGCTTTGCCACTCGTTTCTGTTGTCAGAAGACGTGCCTATGATCCAGCAGAAGACTATGGAATCTGCTTGTTCTGTAAGAAATCAACGATCGATATCTGCGTTGGACGAGTTCACAAGCAGTATCCAGCGGATATGTATTCTCAAATCAAGGATCCATCCGATTTTGCCACTGTTGCTGGACTCAAGAGAGATTAAGACAAAAGTTCTCTTTGTTAATTCCCTGTTCTCCTCATCAACTATTCTATTTGCGTTCTTAAAGTAGACTACCCTGTGTTTTTCTCTTTCCCACTGTTCCTATCAGTGATCAAATCCGGAACATGTGGATTTTCTTTGTGTTCCGGTTTTTTTGTAGACATCAAGTGAGAGATTCACATACTATTTTTTCTGAATTTCATTTCAAAACGTTCTCTTTTCAATCCATTAGAATGTTTCGATATTTTCGCGCCCCATCCCTAGATCCAATCTAGAAATTTCATTAACTTTGGAAACCCAATATTCTTCCCCTATTCTGACTATTTTTTTTCTATTTCAATTCCAAAATGATTACCCATTCTTCAGAATAATGATCTGAATCCTCTTTTCTTCCCCCTTTTTTGTAATAGATGTCTTGCTACTGGTTCCTAGTTTTTCTTTTGAGGTCCTTTTTTTTGTAAATTAGGGTCGTTTCGAATTGTAGATGGGCCGGAGTAAGGACACGAGCCCATTCTTGACTTCCCCACATTTTTTCCAGTGACATTCCGGCCAATGCGGCATTACTTCTTCAAATCGAATAAAAAATCTGTATCATTTTAAAAACGATTTCCAGTTTATTTTTAATTTGAAACAGTATAACTCATACTGCAATTTGTATCTGTTACATTTTTGAATGTCATTCTCTTTCTTTTCTCTTAAAATTCTTTAAATTTTTCAGAGTGTATGGTATGGTGAGCATCATGGATAAGTTTGTTATTTTCTTTTTGAAGATACCAATTCTTGATTGTAAAATTCTTGAAAATAATTGTTTTAACAGTTTTCCTTTCTCTTATAACTATAAATTAGACATCGTTAGTATTTAAAACAGATTTTAACTCAATATAATGTTTGGTTTTTCACCTAAGTCAGATTTCCAAGACAGAACTAGGTAATCCTAAATATTATGTTCAGATGATGAGAACTCTTCCTTTGACCACCGACGGAATCACGCTGGACAAATTCGAATTTAATCCTGATGTGAAGGTGAGTTCATAGCAGTTTTTTTCTTACTGTAGATGTTTTTCAATCAATCAACATTTTTGTAGATTCAGTATAATGCTGGTTTCCTAACATCTGATGTCACCATTCTCAACAACAACAAGTCTGACGTCTTTATTGCCTGGAACAAACACGTCTTCGTTTCCGTCACCCCTCCAACTGCAATTATCCCAGCTGGCACAGATCAGGAGTTTCGTGTCACTGTTGAGTTACACAAAATTAAGAATATCAACCCAAAACTGATGTGAGTGAAACTCTTGAAAGTCCAATAGAAACTAGCATTTTTTCAATTTTAAGATCCAGTTCAGAACATGTTCTATTGCACCCAACGAACTTCTCGCTGAAGACATTCGAAATTCGCTGAGACTTCAACAACAATTATGCTACGGCAATTGTCACGTCAAGAATTTCTACCTAGTTTTTGAGCGATTCTCGCAGAGTGTGTGGTGGGATGAGTCTGTCGTGAGTAATTTGTTTTCTTGATATTTTGCATATTATTTCTCTTCAGCCCACTTATGGGCGTGTTCCGTATGAGGATCTACCAACACATCTCCAGCGTGTCTTCACGTGGCCACCAATGCCACCACCGCCTGGGTCAGGATGCGAAGAAATTGCCGTCGAAATGGAATAGGATTTAGGAGCTTTTTCGTTAACTTGTGTCGTTGATTGTCGTTTTTTTGAGTTTTCTTCCAGATCTCAACATGATTCTTTTGTTTGATTATCCTTTTTCTTTGCTTTTTCTGTTTAATTTAACGTAATCCTTCAAATTCAGAGAATGAAAATCTGTAACATCAGAATCATTTTTTATTTGACTTGAGACATCAAATCAACAAAAAATCTTATCCGACAAGGGAACGTTCTAGAACGGTCTCTTGAGAGTTTGCTGAAAACTAGAACGAAGTACATTCTAATATGCTGAAAATAATTTTCAGCAATGTCTAATCCCCATAGGAAAGTGATTTTCGGAGGAATATTTTCCGGTTTCTTATCAAAAACATTTGAAAATTATATCGGGGTTCACGATGGCTATGGAAAACAATTACCATTTCAAAAAAAAAACATTTCCATGTTTCATTTCCATTTTCTTTACAAACAATGGTAATAGTTTTCTCGTTTCATAGAGAGGTCACTTCGTTCCTAGTCATCAGGTAATTTCGACGACGACACTCCGCTCTCGCTAAACCATGCGCGCTCTCTCTCTATTTACACACTATTTCCCCCTTCTTCTCTCTTCTCTTCCCGCCTCACCTACTCCCTTCCTCGGTATTCTCATTCTTGTGTGGGTTGTCGTTCCCAGTTGCTCTCTTTTTTTTTCTATATTTTTGCTCTCATTTCGTGCTTTTTCTCCACCATCAGCATAATTTTTTCAGTCATCACAAGTTTACCAATGGAGTCATCTAGCCCGCATTTAGAAAACGATCAAACTTATGAGCAAGAAAAGACGGAGTCAGAGGAGAATGAGGTGGTCAAACAGTTGATTAAACTCAAAATCAACAAAAATGCTCAAATGATCAGAAAGTTTTACGATGGCAAAACGAAACCGATTAGAATCGCTGGAAATGCAAAGGTATATCTGGAACCGATTACTATCAAAAACTGTATGGTACGTTTTCGTGACCAATGATTTTATGGTAAACAATATTTGATTTTCAGCAATTCAAGAAGATCAACGATGCTGTCTGCAACTATATCTTCAACGAGAAACTGTACTTCATTGCTAGTCGTTCGCAAGAATTTGCACGTCTTGCTTATTACAACGATGTCGCCGTTGGAGGACTTCTGATTATGCCCATTAAGGAAGGAGATGGAACGTTTTTCCTCAATCTTGGAGTTCTGGAGCCATATCAGCAGTGAGTTCGAGTTTATTAGATTTCAGAAGTTTTGCAACAGGAAGCTTTGCGCATGGGATATTTCGGTATAAGCAATAAGCAACCATGAAAACAAAATATAGCTCATCGTTTATATTTTTTTGTTTTTACATTTTGAAAAAAAGCAGCTGGTAATTTTCCGTAATTATTGTGCGGTTAGAAAAGTAAATAATAGATTATGAGTTACACTTTTAAAAACTTGTCTGTTCATTTTACATTTCAGATGCGGCATCGGCACAATCATTCTTGAATACGCACTCAGAGTTGCTCAAATTCTCACACCTATCAAGGCGTACCATTTGCAATTGCAGGTAACTCAAAGGAAATTATGCAACCTAAACAGAAAATATTTATTAAGGGAAGTAACGAACGCGCTATCAAGTTCTACGAAAAGCACGGATTTGTCAAAGGTAAAGATATTATCGAAAACTTCTACACCGACGAACCAAAGGATGCTCTGTTGTACATCAAGCAGTTCCGCGAATGAACTATCACAAGCTAAAACCTGATGACCTCTCCAATATTTATTCACAACATTCCTTTATATTTCATTATCGGTTATCCAGGCTCATTAAGTTTATTTTATTTTCATTCTTCCAAAATCTCACGTTTACATATTTGTAAATTTAATATCAACTGTCTTTTTCCCAATTCTCAACAATTCATTTAAAAGCCCATGTTTCGTATTTAGTTGGAATCTCATTTATCAAATGTGTCGAATAAACTTTCGGGATGATATCATTTTAGTTTTTGAGAAAAGGGTAAAACTCTGAGAATCTTGTGAAACGAGTTTCAATTTTGTAATCCGAACGTTGCCTCTCCGGAGACAACATGGCTAAACACAAACGATGAAAAACCACAAAACGACAAGCCAAAAAATGATCTCCGCTATGTCTCAAAAATCTATTAGTTAAAAGATTTGAAATTGAGAAATTCGAAAACCCATAAATTTACGAATTTTGTGATTCAGAAACTAGGGAATTAGGTTTTTGTGAAATTCGGAAACTTGGAATTCAAAATTTTCAAAAGTTTCAGATATTCAGTTTTTAACAAAATTTTTGAACTTGACAAACTGTATTCTTCCAGTTTACAAGTTTTCGAGACAATAACTTATGAAGACAGATCGTGATAAGCCTTGTGTCCTATTTTCCGAGTTAGAGCATCTACGGTAAGGCATTATTGGAACATGAAAGATGCTTTTTTATGTTTCTGATATTTACGAAATATTCTTGATTATCTTCGAAAACGCCAGAACAACATGATACTTTTCAGAAAGTCCCAAATATTTTTGTTCATTTTACAAGAAATAAGAATGACCGCGGAAAAAGCATAAGAAATATCGAAAAATAAGGATAGTAAATCAATGAGTGTTGTAGACATCGACAAAAACGGTGAGACAAGTTTTTTTTTGGATTAGAGTTTGACGCTGATGACATCTCCGCTGGCTCTTTGGAAGGTGATTGACTTCCCGTGAGCATCTGAGACAATTCTAGAAAACAAAACACATTTTATTAATTAAAAACTTGTTGGAATGTGGCCGTCGTTGAACGTTCAGAACATTATCGACGGTTTTGAAACAAGTCTTTGAGTTACTCGCATAACCGCTTCGAAACCTCAAATCACTTTGAAGCTTCCATTCTTTTCAAATTTCATAATCATTGTTCAAAAGCAATCCAATTCATAAATAAATAATTCAAATGAAAGTGACTTGGTTCCGTGATTAGAATTTACATCAACACGGAAGAAGAAAATCTAAGAGCGGAAATTCGAGTGTTCAAAGATTGAAGAAAATACCATAAATTACTTTTTTCCATCACTCTTTTTACTGAAATATTGAGCTTCTGAGTTCGTTTTTGGAAGGTGCAGACATCACCTCCAAACAAAGTTTAGAAACACTCCACACTTTTTCAACCGATTCTTTTGGTTTCATCAACAATGTTACTTAATGAGTTGGTGGAAAAAGACCCTCGGCAATCTTCTCAAAATTCACGCGGGCTGCCCGGGTTCGGTTCCCGGTCGATGCACCATGTTTTAAAACTACATTGGTTTATTGAACGATATAGAATGATACAATAGAGGGGCTTTTATACTGGTTACATGATAAAAAATTTAATCAAAGAAAGGGATTGCGGGGGATGCAGTGCACATTCCCCGGGGAATCACCATCAGAAGAGTGCGATTTAGCACACTCGAAGCCATCTGCCATGACAACCGAAAAGTGTAATAGATCACGATACGTTCCAGTCTTCCAGACGGCCAAATACTTTTTGATTGCTTCTCCGGACAGTTCGGAGTTGAAAAGGCGAATTGAGGTGATGTTCATCGACAGCAGATGTTGTTCTGTGATCCAATGAGAATGTTCAAGATGGAATGAGATCATGGTCATCGAAGTCATCAAGAAATTGGTCGGATTGAAGTTGCGAGAAACTTGGAGCAGAGAGCAGAAGTTTCCTCTTTTAAGATTTTACAATATCCGTTATGTAGAAACATTGATAAATTGAATTTCCCAAAATTTCGAATTTTCAAGAGTTCCTACAAGTTTTCAGTTAATCAAATTTTCTGGGAATTTTGAGAATTCTATGAAATGTTCTAATTTCTTTTATTCATGAATATTCTGAATTTTCTTGAACTCTAGTCAGGCATGAGACATGTGGAACAGATTGGAACTGACAAGTGTACATGAATTATGCTAGAACGACAAATTGCAGTTTGCAACATACGTATTTTGGATTTTGAATACACAGTACCGGTCAATAAAACATTCACAAACTTGTTTTTCAGTTGGTTTAAACCTATTTCAGAAGCCTCGAGCTCAACTGTCAAGTTTCCGATCACTTTTTGCATTCACAGAGTTTTTGAAAATTTCTTCATTTCAGCTGCTTATCGATTCTCGATAGACGATTTTCCTGGAGGAAAAATCTGTCAGACCAAGTTTGGTCTTACACATTATGCACAATTTGAATACATTTTATTTGATTTTTGAAAATTATATTGTATTTTATAAAACATATTTTTCAGTTTTTGAAAATTCCTAGTTTTTCAGCTGCTTTCTGAATTCTTAAGCACGCTTGCTTTTTAAAATTTCAGTACAAAAAAGTGAAAAAAGGATGTCTATCAAAAATCGCTGAGCAGCTGAAATAAAGAAATTTTTAAAAATTCTGTGAGTGCAAAAACTTCAAGTGATCGGAAACTGGACAATTGAGCTCGAGGCTCCTGAAATAGGTTTAAACCAGCTGAAAAACAAGTTTGTGAATGTTTTATTGACCGGTACTGTGTATTCAAAATCCAAAATACGTCGGTTGCCAACGGCAGTTTGTCGTTCTAGCATAATTCATGTACACTTGTCAACGAGTCTTAATCTGTTTCACATGTCTCATGCCTGATTTTTAATTACCCCCCTGCCGCCACCTAGTGGAGTCTGACTATTATTAGGTTGGCGGGAAAGTCTTTGTCACTTTTTCAATAGTTTATTTCTCAAAGAAAAAATAACCGAATAATTAATTATATTGTCCATCATTATCAACAACATGTCTCCAACGTTCCCTCAATTTATGGATTCCATTGCGGTAGAATCCAGCCGGGCGTGAGGCAAAGTATTGTTTGAGTGCCGCTTCGACCGCTCCACGGGAATTGAAGCTTCTTCCTTCGAAGGCACGTGTCATATCGCCAAATAACCAATAGTCGGAAGGAGCAAGATCAGGAGAATACGGGGGGTGAGGGAGAACATTCCATCCATATCCCATCAGCTCCTGCTTCACTTGTTTCGAAACATGTGGGCGAGCGTTATCATGTTGATAGTAACTTTCTTGTCTTTCAGGGCCGAACGGTCGACTGCTTTCTTGAGGTTTCGTAGTTGAGTAGTGTAGAGGTCTCCAGTTATTGTTTTGCCCTCGGGCAGAAGTTCCCAGTAGATGGGGCCGTCCACTCCCCACCACACAGAGAGCATAACTTTTTTCGGATGAAGGTCGGGTTTGGGGACATCCTGTGGGCTCTCTCCTTCTCCAACCCACTGGGATTTCCTGTGGTGATTATCGTAGAAGACCCACTTCTCATCTCCGGTTATTAGCCGGTCCAGCCATCGATCGCCCGCGTGGAGAGTGAGAAGAGTAATCGAATCGTCGACTCGGCGGTCAAGGTTGGCTTGAGTCAGGTGATGACGTATGAATCGACCAAAAAGTTTTCTCATTCCAAGAGACTTCAAACCTTCAAGGACTGTGCTATGGTGAACTCCGAATGTGACAGCTAGTTCACGGCTAGATTGAAATGGATCCGATTGCAATGCGTGCTTCAGCTTGTCCAAATCCAACTCACGGGGTCTCCCAGAGCGATCCTTTTCATCGAGCGAGAAGTCATCTTTTTCGAAACGATGGAACCAATTGCGAATAGTATTGTAGTGAGGGGCATGTGTGTTGTACACATTCTTCAAGAAAGTTTCCGAATCCTTCATCGTGGTGTGAGATAGGAAGAGGTAAATCAAAACATGTCTGATGTGAATAGCAGTGGGAACAAACATATCGTTTCAATTACAGATGAGGAGCAGGGAAGGAAATGGGGACTTGTTTATATGGAAGGTTCTTATCACCTTGTTATTCACTAGAGTCGATATCATACACAGCCTCCATATACGAGAACAGTGATTAAACAAACAGAGTGACAAAGACTTTCCCGCCAACCTAATAATTGTCCCATGCCATCGAGCCTGACTAACAATTACTCCATGCCGCCACCTCATATATCTCATATATTAACCTTTCATCAATTACTCTTCTAATTCTTTATGTTATTTGTCACTCATCAAAAACCTCATTAGATTATCAAGATGACTTTTTTGGTGAGAACTGGTTTCAGATGCCCACTTGAGATAACACTGCCTCTTCTCTTTTGATTCTCACCTGCCTCCCCCTCCCCTTTACCTGCTTCCCTCATACCTCAATTAGGAATCCCACATGTACTCACAAGGGAACCACAACACCTCGTCAGTTTGGATTTTGATGAAATTTTCTGTATATGTCAAGGATAGCCTATCTAGTCATCCCTGAAAATTTTAAAACACGCTTGCCAGTTTCAGCCGATTTATATCAGTTTCAGTACCAAAAATCGCGTTTTCAGTGCAAAAATAACGATTTTTAAAGGCGATTTTCTCCGCTTTCATGAGGTTCCAGAACATGAAACTTGTTTTGCTATACTCAGAATTATGTGTAATATCATATTTCAGACATTTTCTAAAAAAATTTTTTTTGAAAAAATTTGAGATTTTTTCCACCATTTGGGTGGGTGATTTTATCGAGCTTTTGTCAATTTGGAAAATCTCCTTGAAAAAGTAGTGATAATTGTCTGCAAATATTATTTTACAACTGATAGGTAATCTATTTTTTGATTGCACGCTTTTCATTATTCATTCATGGTCCGTATAGGTCCAGAAACAGAGCTTCAAAACCACCACATTCCAGTGATTGAACCTTCAATTTTTTTGGAATTTTTTTGAAA